CATCCCTTGACCCAACTTACAGCGCAATAACCAGATCAAAGCACTTTCTCCCTTCCTTGCTAGGGCCCTAGATCGTATTACCTTAATAGAAAAAACGCGCTCCAAGTATACCGACTGCAATGCTTGTCCTGATTGCACGTGTCTGTACAGGTTACAAAGGAGGTTTCGCGAATCTCTAGATTTTTAAGCGGGGATTCGTTCTCGTAAGTTCTGATCGGAGACCTCGTGCCGAGGATTGGTGGAGAACCTTCTTTTGGCCTTGTCGGATGTTCAAATCCGCGACTTGATTTGGTGCTCGCATTTTTTCTAATGGTCTCGAATCAAGCAGATTCGGCTTTTGTGCATTTCGACTCGCGTGATTGTCTGTGAGATGACTCTTCTTGAGTGCTGGTATGTGATGTTCTATTGCCAGTTTTCTTTCGTGAGGTGGTGATCTAAAAATCTTTTAATGAATCGAAGTGCATACTCTAGTACTTTTTGGGCTTTTTTAGGGCTGCTATATCTGCTCAAGTCGACCACTTCCTCCTTAGATGTTTTCGACAAGCGTGAAGTTACTGTCTCCATTGACATCATGTCGATTGCTCAGTTCCGCAACTGTATTAAACTTTGAATGATCCGGTTTGTTTGCGAAGTGAGATCTCATCCACCAGAAATGATATTGCAATGCTTCTGCTGATGGTCCTCTTGTTCAATCGGCTGGATTTTCTGACCCGATACATGTTTAAAGAGGCACAACGTATTTCAGTTGCGAAGATCATTGCTGAACTTTTTATCTCAGACAGTCAATTTGTAGCCAGAATGCCTGCTCCTTGTCGTGATGGCCTAATCTACCCTAACGCGATATTCGAGTCTGCATATAGAATCACTTTCTTGATACAACGAGATGTTCCCACGCCCAGGGCAATCATCTCCAGCTTGGGAATCGTCACTGATGTCTTGCTAGCCGGCAGTTTGGATTTTGCCATAATAATGTTGGATTCTTTTTGAGAGGTGAAATATGCGCATGACCACTGACCGGCGTCAGTGAAAACGAAAAGTCTGTGAGCATTAGTTTGCTTAAGAATTCGTCAGTTCACCTCCTTGTAATCACGCAATTACGCCGCAAGCGGTGCGTCCTTCCCTTTTCAGTCCAACCCCTTCCTTCCATAGGGACTACATGAATATCTTTATAGGTAACAGTGAAGGTACTAGGAA